AAAGTTGTTAACTGAGTGCAATGGAATCGATAATGAAGAAAACACCAACTTTCCCCGCGAACAGTAATCAAACAAACGACATACATAATCGTTCATGTTTACCCTTGCAAGAACATATCATGGTGCCATGTTTCAAGTTTTAAGCTTTAAGGTGTCACTTCTCCTGACCTCATATTCATGCGACTCCAAAGCTGGTTTCATTCTACTAACGCATCATGGTATTTTATTATTGTTTGTACTTATGTTCTCTATTTGGGATCCATATAAAACTATGACTTATGTAACAAATTGAGGGGGCAAATGGTAAGTCAAGGATCAAGTTAAAACTTTTTATATCCTACTTCTTATATGATACTTCTTATACGATACATCACTGCTAGTAAGGTCATGATAGGAAATAAAGTAAATTCTTAAATGTGTTGGAAATTATGGTTAACTCTGGATTAAAACAGTGAAAGATGATGTGCTGTAATTTTAAATTTTTTCAAGTTAACTGCTGTACGTTTGTGAAATGTTGTGCTTAAAGCAATATTTGACCTACTCCGGTGCAATGATTCTAAGGCCAAACTGCTTTCAGAAACATCAGTACAATACTCTGGTGTGCACCAACCTAGTACTGTCAAGATCTCCTTGATCTATAAAACCTTTCGGTCAAAGCAAAGATCTCCCCGATCTCAGAACCTTTCGGTTCAAAACCTTTCGGTTCAAAACCTTTCGGTTTTAGGGCAAGTTCCTACGGGCACAATTTCTGCAGCAGCAGCACAACAACAGCAATAACGTCGATCCGACGTTCGTTTTCCAAGCTCGCGTGTATTTTTCAAGAGCTATCCAAGTGCGCTATTTATAGGCCTCTAAGGCCAGCTCAAGAGTCACTTGCAATTAATGTGACTGTTACAATTCTCAATGACAATTAAGATTGTAACATCAATGCATTAAATTGTTCTAAATGATGTTGTAACTACTGCATGCAGTAACTCCTGAATACGAGGCAACCAATGGACGCGTTGCTACGTAACGCGAGGGTCACGTCTCAGCAAATTAGACGAACCTCGTCAAATAGGCGAACCTCGTATGACAGACGAACCCCGACCCATTGGCCCCCGGCCCCTGGCCCACGGCCCACGGGAACTTATGAGGGATTAATTCAATAAAATACTTCTTGGCTTGCCGTTGGCAAGCCTCGAACAAGGGACCTTTTGAAACACCAAAACATTAACTTTCCACTAGGCTAGGAAGGTGAGCTGTCAGCGTAGGAAATTTCCTACGCTAGCACCACGTGTCAATTTGTAATTGGCTGATTACACATTAGCAAATAAATAGTTAACATATAAACAGTTAACATATAATGCCAAAGTCAAATAAACCAAGGACTGAAATGTAAAAAAGCAAATCCCAAAAATCCCACCTTCCCCAAAAAGACGTTGGTTTCTTTTCCTCCTCCATCCTTTGCCGAACCCAATTCTCAAGCAGCCGGAAAATCAACCAAACCTCCATCCCACGTATCCCCGCCCTTCACTGATCTTCCTCAGGTATTTGCATCAATCTTTGAAGTTTTTTATTTTTATTTTTTTTAAACCGAACCCAATCCTCCATCCCACGCATCCTCATCGCCGATCCTCAGGAAATCCAACGCATCCCCTTCGCCGATGTTCAGGGAACCCAACGCTGCCCTTCACCGATCTTCCTCAGGTATTTGCATCAATCTTTGAAGTTTTTTATTTTTATTTTTTTAAAGGAATCAACTTAATTTTTATTTGCTAAAAGTTTGATATAGTTTAGAATTATTAGAATTATTAAATTTTTTTTTAAAGGAATCGAATTTAATTCCTGCGCGATTGTTCTCCTTAATTCACAGACATATAGTTGATGAAATTACTATGATTTTATCTCTTAATTTTCTAAATGATTTATCAACATTCTTAGAATTTATGTGCTCTTGCATTTTCTTTGTATAGAAATTACTTATAAGATATTGATCCGTCTGTTAATATATTATTCCTACATATTTATGCATTAAAGAGCTAAAATTTGGAGAATTATCATATACGTAAGTGGGTGGTTCCAAAAAGTCTTCCTAATCAAACTCATTACATAGTATAATTGTTAATATTCCTTTTACACAGGACTCGAAGCAATTGTTTTAAAGTGTAGGAAATTATACAAAGGCGTTTATGCAAACAAGGGAAATCCAACAAATATTTAGAAAATTAAATCATTATGAAAAGCAGGAGAAGCACATAATATCCTAATCAAAATTCGAGCTTTTAACACATTGAAAATACAGTTTAAATTCATGCATTATGCTTGTTTTTCTCCTTAATTTAACTGTTTGATGTATTTTTAATCTTTGGATGATATAATTATACTAATGGAAATTGAATTGTTCTCCTTAATTTAATTGTTTGATGTATTTTTAATCTTTAGATGATATAATTATACTAATGGAAATTGATTAATATTGTTTAGGTCAATTTCAATATGGTTGATGTTCATGTAGACAGTTTGATGACTGATAATGTGGAAGGAAGTGGATTTGTTGATTGTAGTAATACAGAGCATGAGCTGGAGCAAGTGAAAATTAATCATGTTAATTGTATTGATAATAGCAAGTCCAATACTGTTGAACCATGGATTAGAATGGAATTTCCCACATATACTGCTGCTTATGATTATTACAATGATTATGCAAAAATAAAAGGATTCAGTGTCCGTATAAGCTCATGCAATTACTCTAGGAAAGAAGGAAAAGAACTCATATCAAAGAAATTTGTCTGTAATAAGGAGGGTCTAAAATCTATAAATGATAAGAGAGAGCACAAAAAAAATAGTTAAGCGTCGAAGAGATACTAGAGTAGGTTGCAAGGCGATGTTGCGGGTCAATCGTACTGATAAAGGTACATGGATAGTGAGCAAATTTGTTAATGAGCATACAAATCATGAGTTAACTAGTCCAGATAAGGTTAAGAATCATTATTCACATCGAAAGTTACATCGAACAAAAGATTGTCGAAGTCTGATTGATAGTTTGCATGAAGAAGGACTTCCGCCAGCAACAATTTCACGAGTAATAAATGTTGGTAGTGGGAATCAGGAGGAAATCATCACACCACAACAATGTAGTGATCATATCAGAAAACAAAGAAAGAATAACATGGGTAATGAATGCATATTAGTCATTCAAAAATTCATAGATAAAAGGACATTTGATTCAGATTTTTATTTTGCTATTGAATTAGATACTACAGGAACTATGAGGAGTGTATTTTCGGCAGATGGACGAGCAAGGGCATCATTCTTAAAGTTTCATGACGTTATTGTTTTTTATGTTACATATAGAACTAACAAGTTGGCACTGTCTTTTGCTCCATTGACTGGTGTTAACCACCATAGGCAGTCAACTTTGTTTGGTTGTGCACTACTTGTAGATGAGGAAGAAGACACATTTGTCTGGTTGTTTACTGAGTGGGTTAAATGTATGAATGGAGTCGCTCCACATGCTATTATTACAGAATAGGACAAAGCTATATGCAATGCCATTCAAAGAGTGTTTCCAAATACTCGACATCGCTATTGTAAATGGCATCTTGGCAAGCACATGGTTGATCATTTATTATCTCTACAAAAGTTGCATACATCGCTATTGTAAATGGCATCTTGGCAAGCACATGGTTGATCATTTATTATCTCTACAAAAGTTGCATGGAGAAGAGTTTGCACATGGTTGATCATTTATTATCTCTACAAAAGTTGCATGGAGAAGAGTTTGCGAACTACTTTAATAGACGGTGGCATAGCAAGACAATTGAAACATGTATTCAACAATGGGATGAGTTAAAAGAAAAATTCAATATAGAAGAAAATGAGGAAGGTTGGTTACAAACCATGTACAGAAATAGAACACATTGGGTTCCATGCTATCTCAAAGATACTTTCTTTGCAGGAATGACATCAAGACAACGTAGTGAAAGTATAAATGCATTCTTTGACACATACGTCAACTCTCAAACATTGTTGCCCAACTTTGTTGAGCAATATGATAAAGCAATATTATCACGTCATTCTCAAGAATTAAGTGAAGATTTTGCTACTTTGAATACAAAGCCAGTGATGCATCTAAACCATCCGATTGAGATTCAAGCTGGAGAGTCATATACAAGAGCTATATTTGAGAGGTTTCAAGATGATCTTAAAGCTTCTGTATCTTTGTTTCATGATGATATGGGAAAAGAAGAATCAATTTCTAAATACATAGTTGGCTCGCTCTCTACTGAAAGAAGTGTATGGGAGCATGTAGTTTATAATCAAAATGAACAGAGAATAACATGTATATGTGCTATGTTTGAGACTGATGGAATATTATGTAGGCATGCCATTCATATTATGATATAAAATCAGTTGGTAAGAATTCCTGAAGAATATATTATGCATAGATGGACAATGAATGCAAGACACCGTAATATTGGAGTCTCTAATGTGTTGCTGGAAAAAACTTTAATAGTAATAGAGAACAATGGAGTACTTTGCGCTCTTGGGCGTTGAGAGCAAATTTAATAACGTGATGGAATGGGCATGTGAATCACCTATGGTCTTTGATGAAATAGATACATTTTTTTCTAACTTGATGGAAAAACATGAAAAAGATATCAGTGCTAAGCAAATCAAGGGGACTGAAGCTACAAGTCGGGTTGAATCTAGTACTCATTCCCATACTATTGAGAAACTCCATCAAATCACTGTTCGTGACCCTCTCGAGTCTACAAAACATAAGGGACACTCGAGAACAATTAGCAGATTGAAATCGGCACTTGAACAAGCACAGGAAAAAAAGAAGATAAAAAAGAGGACATGTGGCAGATGTGGTCAAAAGGGACATTATAAAAGTAGTTGCACTAATTCTCTTGTTGCTAACCTGTCAAATAACTAGGTATTTTAATGTTTAATTATTCACAAAGCTATTTACATTAGTTGAGTGATGCATCTTATTTACAGCTAGTTCCAATTATTCAATTGATTCTTTTTTATTTATACATGTAGAATTTGAAGTTCATCATCCGACTCCGAAAAACAACTAGGTATTTTGATGTTTAATTTCTTATAAAGTTAATTGCATATTTACTTAATTGATACAACTTGTTTCAGTTTACAAGTCACTTCATGTATTCATTGATTCATGTATTTATGCAGACATACGCTAGTCCTCTTCATTTGAACTTTTTTGATAATTGTGAAGGCTTCAAATGAGAAGATGTGGCTCCTCTTCATCTGAATTTTTTTGTCCTACAGTAGTTCACTTTCTTTCACCTTTTCCTCTTCATAAAGTTGCAGTAGATGGGAAAAGCATCCGGGTTATGGCTTTAAGCATTCGCCTATTCGGAAGAAATGCGTTCAACTAGGACTCGAAGGGCTCCAATACTGGCATACTGCTACTATTAATTTATGGATTATAATCATTGATCTCGTACAGATATTTCGTTTTTGTGATTTCTTTTGTTGCTCATAAAGTCTCGTGCAATGAGAAGGCCTTCATATCATCATATGTTCAAGAGTGCACTAAGTTCATAATTTAGCATTGTTATTTGTTAAAGATGAAATATGAATCTGTAGGAAACAAACACTATTACTTTGATTCAAGACAAACAGATCCTTTCATTTATTCGAGCATCCCTATACAATATATTCTTAGTAAGCAGGTAGCTGCTTGTTGCGGAGAAATTCCCATTTTTCCTAGTGGAAACCGACCGCACCGAACTGCATCACTTCGCTACAATTCGGTTTTCTTTAGAGGGTCAGTGCAATTTGGTTGTCAAATATTTTGTCACAACCCGAGGACCAATCGAATGCTCACCCCTACATGCTGCAGTAATCACCTTAGATATAGTTTATTGCTTGAGAAGGGTATAACTGATGACTTATTGGTAATGTGTGCGTAGTGTTTGATACGGAGCAAAGTAAATAGTATTCAAGCACACTTGTTTCATGAACACGGAGTGACAAATAAAAAATAAAAAACATCTCAAGGTTCGGGATCCACAGAGTGACAAATAAAACATCAACGCAAATTGACAAAACTTGTTTCATGGGAAATTAAGATACCCAAAAACTTGTATATGGCTTTCTTTTCTCCTGAAATTGAAATTGGATGCATGAATTAGGACTTGCTCTGAACTCTGTAATTCTTGAGTTTCTTTTCTCCTGAAATTGAAATTGGATGCATGAATTAGGACTTGCTCTGAACTCTGTAATTCTTGAGTTTGCAATTCTCATTGTTTCCGATGCAAATAATACAAGATATCTCTCGCTTTACATTGCTAAAAGGCATTAGCTCTTCGGAGGATGTGTGATGCGAACATTATTACATTAAGATTACAGGCAACTTCATCTTCCTATTGATAGGCACAATGTGAATGTAGGTGTTTGCAGATGATGATTCTCCTTAGATTGCAAATTAAAATAAAAGGGAAAGACTCTTCAATAGGAAAATTTTTAGCATCACTAATCTTCATTCTTTTACAATCTTAACTTGACAAAGAAGGGGCTTATTCTTCAATTTTGATACTGGTAACAAAAACTGGGATGTACATATACATGGACCAAACATAGACATGAGGCTTGCATAGAAATTGAGCTCAGTGAACCCATTCAACAGCCTTTGGACAAGTAGCCTACAAAACATCATCAAGTACCAACAGTTGCAAGCATTTCATGAACAATTCACCTCACTGTCAAATTTCCAAGCATTTCATTATCAACTATCTCAATGTCAAAACTCCAAGCCAAATCTGTAAGTTTTGCATCCTGCACAAAACTCCAAGCCAAATCTGTAAGTTTTGCACCCTGCACAAAACTCCAAGCCAAATCTGTAAGTTTTGCACCCTGCATAATCTCAAAACACTCTTGCCGAAAGACTCAGCATGCTCATCAACATAGTCGTTTACTGACAGTAGGACAAAATCGATAACTATCATTATTTCAATATTTTAAGTTACCGACAGTGGGAAAAATTAAGTTGATTCCTTTAAAAAAATAAAAATAAAAATTAAAAACAAGAGCACATAAATTATTCAAAGAAAAATACAAGAGCACATAAATTCTAAGGATTTTGATAAATCTATTAGGAAATAAAAATTAAAATCAAAGTAGTTGGGGAAAAAACTTTCATCAACTATATGTCTGTGAATTAAGGAGAACAATCGCGCAGGAATTAAAGTCGATTCCTTTAAAAAAATAAAAATAAAAAAACTTCAAAGATTGATGCAAATACCTGAGGAAGATCGGTGAAGGGCAGCGTTGGGTTCCCTGAAGATCGGCGAAGGGGATGCATTGGATTTCTTGAGGATCGGCGATGGGGATGCGTTGGATGGAGAATTGGGTTCGGTTTAAAAAAATATAAAAAAAAAACTTCAAAGATTGATGCAAATACCCGGGGAAGATCGGTGAAGGGCGGGGATGCGTGGGATGGAGGTTCGGTTGATTTTCCTGCTGCTTGAGAATTGGGTTCGACAAAGGATGGAGGAGGAAAAAAAACCAGCGTCTTTTGGGGAAGGTGGGATTTTTGGGATTTGCTTTTTTGCATTTCAGTCCTTAGTTTATTTGACTTTGGCATTATATGTTAACTATTTATTTGCTAATGTGTAATCAGCCAATTACAAATTAAGCACGGGCGCAAGCGTAGGAATTTCCTTACGCTGGAAGTCACCTCCCGTTTTCTCATATATATACTATAAAAATATATATATATATATATATATATAGGGAGAGGTTCAAATAAAAACCTCACTATCCTAAAAACTAAAAACCAATCCTCTCCATTGGATCTAGATTCATCCAACGGCTTAGATTATAAGACTATTACAGCTGCATAAAGGTAAAATTGGAACAATTCACTACATTAATGGTGGCTGGCAACATTGTAAACTGGAGATAATGATTAAAACCAAAAATACAACACGTCATCTCTCTCCAAAATCACAGCAACTCTCTCTCTGTCTTCAACATCTCCCTATCCACGGTCTTCTTCAACCTTCGTCTTCAACCTTCATCTTCAACTACTGTCTTCAACCTTTGTCAACCTTCATCTTCAACCACCGTCTTCAACCTTTGTCATCGTTAAATTATTTTGACGTTTTAATGGTAAGTTTATAAAATTTGTTTGATTTTTCGTCTAAAATTTTAGTTTTAACCTTAAAGATCGTAGCTTTTTGTTGTAAAAGGTGAAATATTTTACCTTTTAGTCTGAAAAGTTTTTTGTATTTTGAAGAAACCAGTTGAAAAACGAAGACACGCATAAGTGAATCTAGATTCACTGCAGTGAATCTCGATTCACAGCAGTGAATCTAGATTCAGTATGTGAGTTGTTTGTTTTTTACCATAAAAAGCGTACTTTTTTGCTGTAAAAGGTGAAATCTTTTCATGGTTTAAAATTTTATAGTTTGTTTTTTACCATAAGTTTCTTATTCTTTTTGTTTAAAATTTTATAGCTTGTTTTTTACCATAAGTTTCTTATTCTTCAATATAATCCAGATTCACTGGAGTGAATCCAGATTCACTGGAGTGAATCCAGATTCACTGGAGTGAATCCAGATTCACTGGAGTGAATCCAGATTCACTCCAGCGAAAGCTTGGATGGTTAGGATGGTTTTTAATGAATTGTTGAAGAAATAAATGCATGTGTGGTAATTTTGAAAAAATAAATGCATGAGTGAATCAAGATTCACTGCAGTGAATCCAGATTCAGTTATGTGAGGTGTTTGTTTTTTACCATAAAAATCGTAACTTTTTGCTGTAAAATGTGAAATCTTATCATGGTTTAAAATTTTATAGCTTGTTTTTTACCATAAGTTTCTTATTATTTTTGTTTTTTATTTTTGGCAGATTTGCTATTGTTTGATAACGAGTTTCAGTTCACTAAATCTGGATTCAATTCAGTGAATCTGGATTCACTCCAATGAATCGAGCTTCAATATAATCCAGATTCAATGGAGTGAATCCAGATTCACTCCAGCGAAAACTTGGATGGTTAGGATGATTTTTAATGAATTGTTGTTGTGTTCTTCATGCGAAGATGGAAGATCAAAGCTTGATAGAAGATGAAAGTGAGTTACAGAGAGTATTAAATGACGTGTTGTATTAAAGGACGTGCTGTAAAAGAGAGTATTAAAGGACGTGTTGGATTAATGTAGTGAATTGTTCCAATTAATGTAGTGAATTGTTTCCAATGTTGCCAGCCACCATTATAGATATATATAGTTTGAAAACTCATTTTGGAAAGCGCTTTTGACCAAAAAATTCAACAATCCCCCACAAGTTTTTAAACTAGTGTCGTTTTATGGTGTCGTCGTTTCAATCGTTGTGCATAAGATAGATGTCGCAAGGACTTGAATCCCCCTTAGACCAACTGAATAGAAGATAGATGCATGATGTCACAGAGACTTGAACCAGCATATGTCTAAAATCTAGCGATCACACACACAATCAAACTCATTTGTGGTAGTTTTCACTTTGAACCACAATTGCCTTTGTCTTTGTACATTTATGGTCCTGTGCTTGTCCTGGTTTCTGCTAGGGCTCTAGGTTTCTTTCCACAAGACACCATAGGAGACGACCAAATCTCCACCCAGGCATATGTGAGTTCTTTAGGCATGTTTCCTATCAAACACCACGTATTCGAAATGCTTTAAACTCATTAAGGCTTAAGAGCCATCCTCTCTCATGATAGGGTTCTAGGTGAGTTCTTTAAGCGTGTTTCCTATCTAGCACCTCGCATCCGAAATGCTTTGGACCCATTAAGGCTTAACAGCCAACCCTTTTACATGATAGGATTATCGGTGAGTCCTTTAGGCATGTTACATATCCAACATCCCGCATCGAAATGCTTTGGACCCATTAAGGATTAACAGCCAACCTCTTTACATGATAGGATTTCACTTGTAAATCTTACTTGACTTTTGAACCAATCATCTTGTCATTAGTAGCGTAAGCTTTGAACTAATAACTTGACGAAATGGTAAGTGTTTGAAAGACTCACTAAACTTTGCAAATCTTACTTGACTTTTGAACCAATTATCTTTATTATTAGTAGCGTAAGCTTTGAACTAATAATTGGATGAACATGGTAAGTATTTGTAAGACTCACAAAACTTTGAGACCCATTGTAGCAGAAATCCTTTCGACTATGTCCTTTTTCAGACCTTTAGGATTAGTCACATTCTCTAAAGACCAAATGTCAATCACCAAGATGACTCCTTGACAAATGAGTTCTCTCAAATAGCCATGCTTCAGACGAATGGTCTGCTTCTTTCCATTGAACAACGAGTTTGCTGCCACAACACCCGTTGCTTGATTGTCACAATAGATTGTAATTGCGCCTTATAATTCTGTCAATGAAAGGTCTCAGAGAATATAACTAAACCACTCAGCTTCGAGATGACTCCTTGGCAAATGAGTTCTCTCAAATAGCCATGCTTCAGACGAATGGTCTGCTTCTTTCCATTGAACAACGAGTTTGCTGCCACAACACCTGTTGCTTGATTATCACAATAGATTATAATTGCGCCTTATAATTCTATCAATGAAAGGTCTCAGGGAATATAACTAAACCACTCAGCTTCATCTCCTGCAGCATAGAGTGTGAAGAACTCAGATTCTATCGATGACTCTGCAATCATAGAATGCTTGTTAGATTTCCATGAGATGGCAGCTCCACCCATGGTGAAGACAAAACCTCCAGTAGATCTGCACTCATCTGGTTCTGAGCACCAGACCTCCAGTAGATCTGCACTCATCTGGTTCTGAGCACCAGCTCACATCTGAATAGCCTTCGATTATAGCTGGATATCCAGTGTAGAATAGGCCCAGACCTATAGTTCCTTTCAAGTATCTCATCAATCTCTGGACAACATCCCAGTGAAGCTTTCCAGGATTACTTGTGAACCTACTAAGTATTCCTACTACAAATGCTATATTTGGCCTTATGTAGCTCATGGTGTACATAAGACTCCTAATGATCTTTGAGTACCTTAGCTGCTCTACTGGTCTTCCAGTGTTCGGTCAAAGTTTCTTGTTGTAATCATATGACACTGATAGTTCTGGCAGGTCATAGTAGTCATACTTCCTTAGCATGCTCTCGACATAATGAGATTGTGACAATCTAATACCCTCTTCAAAGTATATGATTTTGATTTCGAGAATCACATCAGCAGTTCCAAGGTCCTTCATGCTAAACTGAGCTGATAGAAATTTCTTGGTAGATGTTACTATCTCCAAATCACTCCCGACGATTAGCATATCATCCACATAGAGGCAGATAACCACCACCTTTCCTTTAGCGATCTTGATATATAGGCACTTGTCAGACTCACTGACTTGATACCCATTGTTGCGAACAACCTCATCGAACTTCTCATGCCAGAGTTTCTGTGCCTGCTTAAGTCCATATAGAGACTTAATAAGTTTACAAACTTTACCAGCTGGAACATCAAGTCCTTCTGGTTTCTCTATGTAGATCTCTTTTGTGAGGTCTCTCCATTGAGAAATGCAGTCTTCACATCCATGTAATGTATGATGAACCTTTTTATCGCCGCCCATGTGATAAACACTCTGATGGTAGTGATCCTACAAACTGGTGCATAGATATCAAAGAAGTCTATTCCTTCTCTCTAAGAGAATCCTTTCGCCATCAGTCTTGCTTTGTACTTCTCAATAGTACCATCAGGACGAAGCTTCTTCTTGAAAATCTACTTGCAACTGATAGGCCTAGCACCTTTAGGTACATCCACCAGCTCCCACGTGTGATTTTGGATCAATGAATCCATCTCATCATCTATATCTTCTTTCCATAGGAGAGCGTCTGTTGAGTGTATTGCTTCTTGGAAAGTCCATGGATCTCCTTCCATATTATAGGTGATGAAATCATCTCCAAAATCTTTTTGTCTCCTGACACACTTGGAAGATAGTTCAGTAACTCCTTCATCATTGACACTTCCAGTTTCTCGCGAAACTGGCGCCTCTGGTTCATCTGACGTACTAGCATTCTCTGCTATATCTTTGAGCAATAATCCTTTATCTTTGATAAACTTATCCTTAAAGAATTCTGCATCCCGAGCTTCAATGATGGAGTTGGTTCTAAGATTAAGGAACCTACAAGCATCACTATCTTCAGCAAAGCCAAGAAACACACATTTGTTTGCCTTTGGTCTGAGCTTAGGCTTTCTGATATATGGAACTCAAATATATACAAGACACCCCCACACTTTGAGACTATCCAAAGGATCTAGATATCCTAATCATAACTAATAAGAAGTACTATCAGTTTTGGAATAGGGTCTCTGTTCAGAATCTAGTTTGCCATCATCAAAGCCTCTCCCCAATAGCATGTAGGTAGACCGGATGTGATTAGCATCGAATTTACCATCTCGATCAATGTGCGATTCTTCCTTTCTGCAATTCCATTAGATTACGAAGAATACGGAGCAGTAGTTTCAGCAATGATTCTATGCTCCTTGAAGTATGCCTCCGACTCCTTAGATCGGTACTCTCCTCCTCTGTCACTCCTGAGTCT